AAATAAAATCTTTTTTTAAAGATAGAGGCACTAAACAAGTAGGAATAAAAGAGACTTCCTCAATTTGACAAAGAACATCTAAAAAACTTTACAGTTAACTTGACACTTAATGGTGAAAGGCTATATCTCTAAGACCAGGAATGAGACGAGGATGTCTACTCTTACCACTTCTATTCAATATTGAATAAAACTAGATTTCATCCAGGTCAACTAGTCTAGAAATAATATTAATAATAATAAACATAAAAGGCATAAGATTGTACAGTAAAAAGCAAGCTATCATTTTTTGTAGATTATATGATCTCATATATAGAAAATTATTTAAAAATCCACATGCAAAAAATATATTAGAACTAATAAACAAGTTTAGTAAGTTACTAGGATAAAAGACCAATAGACAAAAATCAATTTTATTTCTCTATACTAGCAAAGAAAAACCAAAGACTAAAATTAACAGAACAATTTGATTTAAAAACCAAAAATATAGATTACTTAGAAATAAATTTAATAAAAGAAACATGCATCTTCTAAACTTAAAACTAAAAAATATCATTAAAATATCATAACTTTTAGTTAAAGAAGGACTAAATAATCGTCCATGTTCATAGATTGTAAAACTTAATATTATTAAGATTAAAAAAATTCCCCAAATTTATCTAAACACAATACCTACAAAAATCCCAGTTGTCTTTTTTTTTGCATAAACTGGCAAACCGATACTAAAATTAACATGGAAATGAAAGAGACAGAGAATAGGCAAAATAATCTCCAAAAACAAAAAAAGGACAAATTGGGAGGACTCACTTCTTAAATTTAAATCTTATTCTAAAGCTAGAGAAATCAAGATAGTGAGGTATTTATATATTTATGATCATATAGGTCAATAAAATAGAATTCAAAGTCTGCAAATAAACCCTTACATATATTGTCAAAGAATTTTACAAGGGTGCCAACACAAGTCAACAGGAATATTATAGTCTTGTCTACAAATGGTGGGACAAATAAAGGACTTATGATCTTCATAATAGAAGTTGGCATGTGCATATCAACTAACAGAAGTAAAAAAAAAAGCTCAAAAAGTCTTTGGAAAATATCACTGAGTTTTCTAACACAATCATCCTCAAATGGTACCCAGTATAAGAAACAAGAAACTAGGCCCATTGTTCCTGCCAGACAGAGCAATGTAAGGAGATTATAATTTCATATGAGACAGCACCTGCAAGTGTCAGTTTCACTCTATTATAATAAAGTGGGTGATGAATTAAAAAAGTAGAGGAAATACAATGTCCTGTTTTCCTGGAGCAGGCATTTGGCAAATACTAAGAAAAAGCATCAACCAAACTAGCATACCTTTCCAGCTGCCAATTTAACTCTTCCCCCTCCCCCATCCTTCTAGCTAAAATTCTGACATTTCCACTTGTTGGCTCCTTTTTTTTGACACCTTCCACCTCCCCTGATTTCTCAGCCCACTTCGTTCTGATTCAACTTCCACCACTGCACCGAAACAGCACTCCCTAAAGTAACCAGTGAATAACTAAATACAAGCTCTGTCCAGAAAGTATCCAACCATGTAATGAAAAATAGAGACATTTATTGAAGATACAAGATACAAGAAACATTATACATAGGACAACGACACCTCAGTTCCCTTCAAGGTATGCACGTTAGGACCTCATACAGTTTCCCAATTGCCATCAGCTTCCCTGTCATATTTTCCTGAATCTCATCAATGGTCTGACATCTGTTCCCTTTCAAAAATGATTTTAGTTTTCAGAAAAGCCAGAAGTCACAAAGTGCCAAATTTGGGCTGTCAGGGGGCTGAGTGACCTGGGTGATTTGATGTTTTCCCAAAAACTGTGCACAAGATGTGATGCATGAATGAGCATATTGTCATGATGAAGCTGCCAATAACCCATAGCTGCCCATAGCTGCAGCCTTCTGAATCACCCAAATAGTTTCTGCAGAGGCATGTTCAAGCTTAACACAAAATTTGAGCAGATTCATTACTCTACTTGCTCAGTCATTTTGAATGTGAACACCACACAGCACATATGCTCACTCAATGGCATCTACTGCCCCCACTGACTAGTACAGCGAAGTTGTCATTGTTCACCCATGAGTATTCCAGTCCACTCTCCTTGGCTTCTAGGTTACATGGATATTGCACAAACCATTCTTGTTATGTTAATAATGGCTGGACTTTTTTCTGGACAGAACTCACATATCACATGTGATGAAGTTTATAAATGGAAACCTTGCACCCTGATGGGAAAACATGAGCTTTGCAGTCAGACAGACCTGAGTGCAAATTCTGTCTTGTTAATTATTAACTATATAGACTTGGTATTTAATTTATTTAACACTTTATTTAATCCTTCTCAGAGCCAACTTGGTTATCTATACAATAAAATTTATAATAATCTACCTTTAGAAAGGCATTAATGATTACTCAAGATTATGCATATTTCCTGGTGCTCAGTTAATATCAGTGATTTTTGTATACATTATGCTTTCTCTAGGCATAGACAGCTGACCAATGGCGTCATTTGTACATCTCCTCAAATAAGTGCATATTAAATGTCTCCTACCCTTACTTAGATCATCTTCTGAAAGGATGTTACCACGGCTTTTTTTCCCTGGTTGCACGACTAGAGCCATGCTCCCTGTGACAGATTTTCTTTAAGGCACAGGTGGCAAACACAAGGCCCATGAGCTGAATCCAGCCCTCCACCTTGTTTTATTGGGCCCGGCACCTTGTTTCTACCTGATGGTGGCGCCAAGCTTCTTGCCTCTAGTTAAGGACTAGTTATAGTTATAGAGTCCTAAAATTACATTTGGCCCTTTGAAGGCAACCACGAGGCTGATGTGGCCCCTGGTGAAAATGAATTTGATGCCCCTGCTTTATGGGAACTGTTGCTGACGGTTACAGAAGTCATCAGGTGCAGATGGTCAAATCTCTCCTTTAGGGGAGCACACAATAATACAATTGCTAAAGTTTAAATGATCACTCAGAGATCATTTATAAGATGGATCAAGGCCATTTAACAGACATTTATATGGTTATTCATCCTAAAGTTCTTCTGGAACTTTCCATTGCAGCTTTTCCTCATTTTTTTTTAAATATCAATTTAAAAAGTGACTCAGAGCAGGAAAGATCCTCAGCACCTGTCTCCTGCCAACCCGCAGTAAGAAGGCTGAGGGGGGCTATCAGCCTGAAAAGATCAGTCTACAGGACAGGACAGATTTGGAAGAGAAATCATTTTCTAATTTGTTCTGTTTAAGGGCAGATTTTCGTTAACTGTATATGCCCCTTTTCAAGAGAAAATAGTTTTGGCCAAAAGGAACATTATGTTAATTCACCTGTGTGAAAGTCAAAGTAAAATTCTGTGCTCAAATTAAAGATTATCTAACAGACTTGGATCTTGTGATGTTTAAAGCAACAGAATCCGTCCAGCATCCCTTGGAGAGGCCACCGGGACATGCTGATCTGTCTGGGTGTGCAGCACAGACAGAAGAACAAGAGCTGAGTGGTCTTAATGGAACTGAGACAGCCATATGGTGTGCTTGCTGGGACAGTTTCCTTTTTAAAAAATTATACATGCTGAATTTTATTGTTTTGCTCACTAAATCCTATCAATCTCTATGAGCTTATAGTTAAGAAAGTATTATACTTGGAGAGACTCCCTCATTTTATCAAATAACTTTGAAAAGAAATGGGAGAGTACAAGCTGTATAACTGTTTTAACGCATTTCAGGTATTCGAAATGTTAATGTAAGGCCACAGGGGTATTTTGTGTTTGAGCATGTTAAAGTGCCAGACCATAATACTAGTCTCAGGCAACTTCATAGCAATACATAGTAAGCAACAGAGATTTTTATTTTTATTTTTTATTCCCTTCATTCAAAGGTTTGCATTGGCCAAACTTGAGAAGCAGAAAACCTACTAAAAAGCAAAAGGTAGTTAAGTCCTATTTTTCTACCTGGCAGTAGATGGCAGTAGTGAAACATGAAAAACCCATTCAGGTGACTTGCAATTACCTGCTAGGTTTTCCTTCTTTCAAACTTGGGAATCTGAGCTGAACCAGGATTCCTAAGAAGATGGTATGGTTGTTATCCCTTTACTGTTCTAAACCAGCTTTTATGCCTCTCTCTTTTTAAAATTAAGAGTTTGTCTTTGTTTTTTGTTTGTTTTGTTTAGAACAGTTTTGGTTCACAGCAAAACTGAGTAGAAGGTACCAGAGAATCCCTACTTGCCCCAGCTCCACCTATGCACAGCGTCCCCATAATCAACATGCCCCAGAAAAGTGGCTGCACTTGAGGAATCTACACGGACACATCGTAATCACCCAAAGTCTCTAGTTTACCTTGTGGTTCACGCTTGATGTTGTACATTCTGTGGGTTTAGACACTGTACCCAAATACTTTGTATAATATCCAATGGCATGTACCCATCATTATGGGTAATACAGAGTATTTTCACTGTCCTAAAAATCCTCTATACTTTGCCTATTCATCCCTGCCCACTTCAGCATCGCTGATCATTTTAGTGTGTTCATAGTTTTATCTTTTGTAGGATGTAATGTAGTTGGAATCATATCCTATGTAGTATTTTTAGATTGGCTTCTTTTACTTAGTTTTATGCATTTAAGGTTCCTCTTTTTTATGGTTTGAGAGCTTATTTCTTTATAGCACTGAATAATATTCCATTGTCTGGATATATACCTTTTCTTTTTATAAAGAGATATCTTTCCCATTTGTAGCTCTCTTTAGACCTTGACAATATTTTGATGTTTCCACATTTTTCCATTCAAACTCCTATTTGGCACTTGAATGTATTAAGAACATGCTCCATTCAGCAAATGTTCAGGAAATAGGCCCTCAAAGCCCTCCAACCTCTCAGAGCATGGTGTCTGGGACGCTGTCCTCATTGTGTCTTAATTACTTCTCCAAAGTGGAACTTTCCTAGTCAGATAGCAATAAAGGGTCTCTGCTTCTTTCAGATCCCTGGAACATCTTCTGTAGTTCAGAGAAAATGGGAGCCTTTGCAGCCTGTTCCACAGCCTCGAGGGCCAGGACAGCAGACCAAGTCCAGGATTAGCGCTGTGGCTGCTGAAATAAAGCAGATCCGAGCCAGACGAAAAACAGCCCGGATGCTGATGGTTGTGCTTTTGGTGTTTGCAATTTGCTATCTACCAATTAGCATCTTGAATGTGCTAAAGAGGTAAAGTTCATCTACTCTTTGAAAATGAAGTGATCTATCATTTCTTGCTTCTTATGAATTCTTTTTAAGCCACAGAAAAACCTAAATCCTTTGTCTAGATAGCTTGTCAGGCTTGATAACTTGGTGGTGTTGTTACCGACAGGTAAGGCAAACATCCTTTTAGATGTTCAGACTGTAAATGCTCTTGTTCATGTAAATTCTTTGTTGAATGGCAGACACAAAACAGATGTTCCCCTGACCTCTTCAAGCTAATTGCAGAAAAAAGTTCTAATGCAAAAAAATAAAAAAACAAAACAAAAAAAAACACCTCATTTACAGCTTGGAGTTCTCTTTTGATCAGAACAAATGGGTTTTTACAAAACATTACTTTCAAAGATTTGGGGAATTGTGACACAATTTTATCTAAATGATGAAAAGAGATAAGAATGTTTTGTTAGCATTCTAATTATAGTTGAAAGTGCATTTGTGAGCAAATGCACAAAAAATGAAACCACAACACATACTCTATTTTGAATGTTTAAACAGAAAGAAAATATATTTCCTAAAGTCAATGAATCAAGCTCAGGGTGAATATTAATAAAAAATCAGTACAAAACTTTTCAGCCAGGAAAAGTGTGTTATGAGTTACACTGCTGACACACTATTAAGTTAACACAATTAACGAACGCAACACAGCGGATGCAGGGGCAATGGTACACTTGAACTTCATGGCCAGCCAACTTTATTGAGAATCATCAGAACTATTGGACACAGGCTGGTCCCAAGGTAATATTAATTCTGTTTATAATAGATTCAGAACTAAAACTAGGATTGTTGCTCTCACTTTTCCGTGATTCAGAATCAGTATCATGTTCCTCACAGCTGGGGACTCTGGAGAGCGTTTTTGGCTGGAATCTCACAGACGAAAGGTGATAGACTCAGCTGCAAAGATTTCTCATTCTCTTCAGCCCTTTTATAGATTGCTTCATGCCTTTTTCTGTGGACAAAAAGAAAAAAATGCACTTTTTTTTAGTAATATTATTTACTATAGATGCAGTCTTAAAGGTAAATGATGTCAACCACTTGAGTCTTTGAGACATATACTGACTCATGAGAAAAGGAGTGACTTTACTCCCCATATCTCTTCATGATTTCCTTCTTAATTTTGCTTGTCCACAGCCATTGTATACAAATTTACTGTGGTCTTTTGCTGGATGACATGTTCTGCCCTTAAAAACTTTGTAAATATGCTGTGAAACTAGATGGACTCTTCTTTTTTTTTCTTTTTTGTACTTTTATTTTAGTCTGAATTCAATGAAAATTAGATTTACTGCTCTCTGGATTATTCCTTTGGATTTCCTGCATCTCAGCCCTTGTACTTTCCTTCAGCTATTTCCAAATACCTCCTTGTCTATAATGTTTCTCTTATTCTTTCAACTTAAATACCTTCCTTTCCAATGAAAGGAAATTGCTTTCTAAGTAGAAAGTACATGTTTAACTTAAAATATTTGAAATTTTTGAGCATCCTGCTCTTTTCCACAAACTAAAAAAATAAATTAATAACCTCAAAATAATCTTTCTCTTTACCATGCATATTTTCTTTAAATGTGTATCTCTTTGTTTGCCCTTATACATTATACTTCTTCCTCAAATAAATTTCTCAATTCCTTTTCTAGAAACTTAAATTTTTGCCTGAATAATTCAAACCAACCTTTTTAAAGCAGCTCTGATTTGACTAGGATTTCAGAGCTAGGCTGTGGTAGAGAGGCCTATCATTACTGATTCCATTTGTTCACATTCCACTCCATAGAGCATCACTTTATTCTGGAAATGCATTTCTATCAGGGACACGAATTACACAGTTAATGATAGAATTCTGGCAGGGAATGCCTTATAATCTTCATCTATAAATATATGGAGTAATTGCCAGTTACCTGCTGTTGGCTGGTGAATAGAATTAGATAGATGGAGTATTTCTAAATATGGAACAAATGTTTAAGATTTCATTAAGAATATCAGAATGAGTTATTTTTTAAAGTTAAAAATAATAAAAGCATTAAAACCCATGAATTTTAAGAAATTACCAGAATTTTGCCTTCTGAAAACCAGTTCTTCCCTAGGTATAAAAAAGTCCCAGAAGCAAATTTCAACACGCCTGGAAATATTGGAGTTGAAGAAATTTAATACTTTGATCAATGCACAAATTAAAGTAGGAAGACCTTACAGATTGCCATTCAGGACTGCTTTTTAAATGCTGCACACACAATGGAATATTCACAAACTTGCCCTATTGTATTGAGAGACAAAATGAAAAAAAGGAAACAAATATGTTTAACTATACGGTCTTGTAGTCTTTACTATAAGAACTATTATTGCATTTGCTGTTTAGAGGAGAGAGAGTCCTTCTCTAACCTGATTCAACATTTGATTTACTGATGGTGCCGTAGAGTTTCCGTTCATGTGCTGAAGTTTTTCTAAACCCACCGACCATAGTGCCATAAACCTATCAGTGGTAAATGCAGCAAGGAAGACAGGGGTCAGGCAGTTTCTATCAAGGGTTGTGTTCACCTTTGAATTTAATTAATGAAAATGTATTCTCCAGAATCAGACTAGATTTCCTGTTATCGTTATTTTTCTTGCAGAGTATTTGGAATGTTTACCCATACGGAAGACAGGGAGACAGTATATGCCTGGTTTACATTTTCACACTGGCTTGTATATGCCAATAGTGCTGCGAACCCAATTATTTATAATTTTCTCAGTGGTAAGTTTTCAACTTTTTCTTCTATATAAACCACAGTTCTAACCAAGGGTGAGGGACCAATGACCAGAAGTTTTGAACACCCTTGAACTGGATGAAGAACTTAGATGCTCTACAATAAAAAAAAAATTCCCTGATCTGATTTGTCTTGAGGCTTTTCCCTTACAAGCAGAACACATTACCTAAGTCAGCCGATAAAATTATCAAAGGAATTTTTTTCCCAATAAAATTTAGAAGAAATTTTGAAATAGGAGGAAAGTGAAAATTGTGAGAGCTGAACAACACAGAACCTTGCTTGTCATACATTAAACTTTAATTTATGAAAATGTAAAATAACTTTATCTGAAAATAAAACAGCTTTGCTGTAATATTTCCTTGGCCAACATTTGTAGCCTAATTGAGATTGAACTGGGAAATTTCCACTTTCTTGTACTTTTCTATTTACATTAATATTGTAGCTAACATCTCTTAGGTTTTTTTCAAGAATTCTCACTGACCATAAAAAAAATAAATAAAAAGATATTCCTCTGGAATAACACCTAAGCCAAATGACAAACATACACACATCTATAAGTTATTTAACCTATTTATGAATCAATACAATGATAAAAATCATTTAATTATTGTTTTATATAGAATTTGCCTCATTGACTTTTAGAATTGTGTTTTAATTAACTACATCTTTACATTGTCTTATACTCAAAGTGGTTGACTATTTCCTTTTCATTTCTATCTCCAAATATAATATGATAAATATATAGTAAAATAAGCAATTTATTTTACTGCATATTTAATAAAATATGTATATTTTGTAACTCTCCATTTGGCCTTCTGGATTATAAAAATAAAAAGGACAACCAGTCAATTATTTTTAAAATAACTTTTTCAAACATTGCATAGATCCTATATGTTTATTTTTATTCCATCTTTCAGAAAATCAGGTGGTGTTTGTGTGGAGTTTGTTCTATATTCAGTTGCCCCTTTTCATGCCTTCCTCTGCCACACCCAATTCCAGTCTCTGAAACAAAGACTTCATTCAGTCTGAGACAACCAGATTGGACAGCTCGCGTGGTGTTTGAAGGGACAAGGGGCCTTGTGGAGCTGTAGCTTGGAAAGCAGTAGGGAAGCAATTGCCAAGAGGTTAGGTTTGACTAAAAGTCTGGGTCTTGCACTAAGCATTTGAAATAGAAGACCAGTACCAAAGTCAAAGTGCTAGTTTGTAGTTAAGAGTGAGTTAGGGAATGCAGCTGAGGACTTAGGCCCCTGCTATTATCTTGGCCCTTAACCTTGCTCTTCCCATTTGATCATTCAATAACCCAATTTGGTCATTGAGGCTCGAAGAAAATGAATTATGATTTCCAACACTGCCATTTACCCTTAAAAAGGTAAATGTTTCATTTTTATACCTAACTTCATGTCAGTAATTTAATGGCAAGAAATAATTTATTTTTTTTTCAGTTTCTTGTGCTGCCTATGCAGATTATGAAACTTTAGAGACTTTGTAGATATTTTAAGATATTTTCTAGATATTTTGACAATTGATTGTTTTAGTAGAACAGTTTTTTTTTCAGAGTAAAATGGGTAATGTCTGTATAGTTTGGGCTGTGTACAGCATGAGTTTTATTATTTTGAAATAAATATTTCTAGGTATTCTGCTGATCACTTTTATTATAGTTAACTACTTAAAAATAACCCACATTCACAAACATATAAGGTTTAACTAGAAAGGAATGAAACACACTGCAAATATCACACATGAAAAGCAGTCTCGTTATTTTATGAAAATACCTCATCGGTTCAAGAGTCTACCATGCTTCCACTAACGCAATTTCCTTTTCCTAATTTCCCCATTTTTGCAAAATGTGACACCTCATTGTTAGTTTGGCTCAAGGGAGCAACTCGGTTGTACCCTACTCATGATTTGTTAAAACATATTTACGCACAGTTCTTTTTCCTTTCATTTCCCTGGTTTGCCAGGAAAATTTCGAGAGGAATTTAAAGCTGCGTTTTCTTGCTGTTGCCTTGGAGTGCACCATCGCCAGGAGGATCGGCTCGCCAGGGGGCGCACGAGCACCGAGAGCAGAAAGTCTCTGACCACCCAGATCAGCAACTTGGATAACATATCCAAACTCTCCGAGCAAGTCGTACTCACCAGTATAAGCACACTCCCAGCAGCCAATGGAGCGGGGCTGCTTCAAAACTGGTAGAATATTTATTCATATGACAAGGATACCTGAGTAAAACTATTCTTTTTTTTTAATCTCTGTACACAGAAATTTTATTATCTGAACGATCTAAAGCTAAAATTACTTTGTGGACCCATTTTTTGAAAAAGAAAAACCTACTGCTCTTTGGAAATAAAAGTCAGTTTAAACTAATTTCTCAATTTCTGATTTAAATATCTTAGAAGTTTAACCTTCAACTGAATTTATTTCAGGCTATTTCACTTTTAGTTTCGTGTATTATGACTGTGTCAATTAAATGTTTAAGTATTTCCTATTCTAATTATTTCAATCTCACATTCAAATTGGTTGCTAAAATTAACAAAAGTTCTCCAATAATCTTTTGGCAACTAAAAGAAGTAGCGATTACTAACTCTGAATTAACAAAACATGATAGTTGACGTTATAGTTTTAAAAAATCACAAAAGACTGTCATTATGATGTGTATCTCAGAGAATATTTATACACAAAATAGCGTATTAGATAACTGAAAAGCTACCTTTCAAATCTATATAAAAATAAATGCTATTAAACTTTATTTTCCATTAATTATATCACTCAGTAACACGATTTTCTCAGGTTTGTAACTTTACCATTTCTCATCTCAACATATGGCCAGTAAGACACAGTATTAAAATACAAATTTGGAGTAACTTACAAATACATAATAATTTTCATTTCTAAGACTCCAACATTTACGTAAGATAAAATCACATTATTATCCTCTTCTAACCAGTGAAAATGATGTAGTTAGCCTTGGTGGATTAAGTTAAAAAGTGCAATTTACAAAGAAAAAGAGTAGTGGACTATTAAATCACAGCTGGGTTCCGTATTGCACAGGTTAATACCATGGAGATTTGATGGTAAACATTTGCATTTATTGAAATCCCATACACATGTATCAAAGACGTACCAGAAAGCACCCTCTAGACAGGTTATTGCCATGGAGATTTGATGGTAAATATTTTCACTTATTTAAATTCTATAAACATTTATCAAACACCTACCAGAAAGCACCAGCTGTGCTAGGTGCTAGGGAATGAGGTGGGGGTGGATGTAAATGTGCCTTTAACAGAGCTCAGGTCTGCTGAGGGAGACAAGGGGACAGAGCCTGCAGGGCAGCAAAGCATTGTGGGGGATGGGTTCCCACACCCAAAGAGCAGTGATGCAAGCGGGTGGTGCTGTTCCTTACCCGGGGGGTTGGCGTTTTTTGTTTCTATTTAATTATAGTGACAATGCTGATGTCCGCGAATTCCACCTGGGCTTGTGGCTGGAAGCCAGGTGATTAGGCTAATGGAGGGGCTTGCCCTTAATCTCCACACGAATGAGTAGGAGTGCAGTATATTTTGTACAAATGTAAGCTCTGGGGTTCAAAGCACTGAATAGCCCAAATTTGTTTTCCTGCATTTTTTTTCTGATTCAAATATTCACTTCAAAGTTAAATTGAAAGTAAAAGATATTTTCATGAAAACTTGCTCTCATGATAGTAGCAGGTGTTCTTATTTTAATTGAAACAAGATCTGGTCAACAACATTTAAGACAGATTTTCACAGAGGATAAAAATTATCTTGTTCTTTTTTTGCTTTTACCCAGCTCATCACTTTCAGAAAGAAGTCATAACAAACAAATGATCCACTAGTTGTTTTTATATTTTAGAATTGGGGATTACCTTGTGCTTTTTACTACTTAAAACAAAAACTACTCTCGCATATGAGGTTTATTAAAATGATATTGCTAGTTAGCAAAATAATGGCAATGAACCTAAAGCATTGTAACTCTCTTCTCTACCCCCTTTGTACATTTGAGAACTTTTTTCTCATTTATACTGCACGAAAGGAGAGTTGTAATTTTTAGGTTGTGATGGAAACTAGCACTTTAAATAGTTTGAAAATATCTTCAGATAATATTGATAATATGCCTTAATAGTTAGGAAGTAATATCTCAGAGTAAGAGCTAACTCCTTTAGACCCTAATATATCTAGTTCTTTATCATGCAAGAATGAGAGAAATTGAAAGAAGGAGAGGGAACAGGAGGGAGAGAGAAAGAGAGTCAGGGGCTGTGTGATTGTCTACTAAGTTCAGACTCAGAAGTCAGAATTCCTTTGCTCTAAATCCATGACTCCCAAAGTGTGATTCCTGAACCACAAGCATCACCTGACATTGTATTAGACATGCGAATTTCCACCCTATCTCAGATCTGCTGAATCAGAAACTTTGGGAGTGGTATCCAGGAATCTGGGCATTAACAAGCCCTACAGGTGATTCTAATGCAACTTAAAATTTGAGAACCACTGCTCCAAATACTACCACCTGGCACCTGTTGATTAGGCCATGTGATGTAAAGTGTTTTACCTCACAAGCACTGACAACAGGGATCATCGTCATCCCTACTATCAGCCTGGTTGGAGGTCTGAAAGAAGAGGCTGAGTATCAGTGCTAAATGTCACTCAGTGTCACCTCAGTCAAAGAGATGATGGTTTGTGAAGCATTGTCCCTGAGTTACAGTGCAATGTAAAAGGCAACTGATTTTAAGGCCTGCATGTGCTTTATGGCTATCTGGATGACTCGAGTTTCTAACAAAAACTTCCCAATTTCCAATTTTATTAACATTTACTAAGGCTAAGTTTGAGGAAGCAGTTTCTAAGAGGGAATATTAACTGGGAGGAGAAGCAAACAAGCACCAGTTCTTACAAGAAACTGAGAGAGTGGAGGAATAATAGAATATGCATATTGCTCTCCACATGCTCAAGCCAGAATCCTTCTCAGAGGTCTAGATTGAAATCCTCTTAATGGGAAAAGGTAAAGGAATAGGTGTTTTCCAAACCTGCCAGTCTATGGAATAAAGGGTCAACTACTTACCTCATTATGTGCTAATAACACAAATGAGAAGACTTCTTATAAAAAGAATGTGTTCTGACTGTTTTATTCTATACAAAGAATGTGTTATTTTTATATATTTCAAAGATTTACTGTAAAATGTCATTAATGTTACTGAAGTTTGTTATTAATGGTATGAGATAATAATTTTATCTAATATAGAATCCACTTGCATTTCATTATTTTTGAACTACAAACCTATGAAAAGTGCCATAGTTGAATTTATTTATTCTTGGCAAAATATGACTGTAGTTTCTGAGGAAAATGACTTCTAAATTCTCCAGGGCTTGAAGCTTTTCTTGGATATTAAAAACTGTTACAAATCATTGATGGGTTAATTTCAAAAGTGTTACACACAATAATACTAAATTTTATTTCCAAGGTATACTGTTTTAATGAAGATACAGGTAAAAATGCCCATAACATATAGTTTGAATATACATAAACATGGAATATCAAGATGACAAATCCTGAAGACACTTAGGGAAACAAATGGTGAGGAGGGCTATTATTATTTTATTACTAGTGTAATAGTAGAATGTTTCACTTGATAAAATAATTGTACTCACTTGCATTTCAAAAAAGTCTGGGTAGTCATAATTTAGGAAGCTTTTCAATTCTAGTTAATTTTACAACAGATAACTTTTCTACTTCCTATAGGTTATGAATCAAAAAAGGAGACAATTTTATTAGGTCATGTGCAACTAGTTTTCAAATGGCATGAAGCAAAATAATAGAATTTTTTAGAGCAGATATGTAAACAGAGAAAATACTGTTAATATAAGTCTATTCTATTACCTTATGTACCACAAAAAATGAACTACAAAGGCATGAAAAATGCTGTTATCTCCCCAAATTTGAAGGAGATTGTTTTCTAGAGACTATTGAAATTAAAGAGGAGGCAAAAAACTCTCTCCCAGTTGCCACGTATTTCTATTATCGTATATTTTCTTGATCAACTTTGGAGTTAGAGTGTCTTTAAGTGTTTCATGAAATGTATTTATACAATTGTTGTATGCCGTGTGTGTAGCACAATGCCACTTGTTGAACCCTTACCTTACGTACTTCAAGTTCTTTCTGCCTGACTTACTATGTCTTCATGAAAAAAGTTTTATCACATTCAGCCATGATAGTACCCCCACAACTGTGAAGGATGCTCATTGTATAGTTTTTCAAGTAAAAAACATTCAGAATTCAATAATCACATCCACTTTGTCCTCTGTATTGTATGAAAAATCTTGTTGTTGATTAGATAAGTTGGATATTCGCTCATAATTAGTGTCAAATCATTGCAGTTAAGGATTGAATTAGGCCCTGTGGTACAGTTCTTAATAACCAAAATATTTTTTCCAATAAGTTTATATAACCAAGGATAATCATGATATACAAGGTTTTTAATCTTGTTTTAAGAACAGGGACTATAATAAAGAGGGTGAAGATTAATACAGAAATATTTCATAAAATTATGTAAAACCACATGTACATAGAGCATTACATTTTGGAGTTTTTATCTGAGTCAAGAGACTTAAAGAATATGATGACTTGTGATTTTTAATTTAGTAGACTAGTAACTATAGCATTTACATAAGTAAGCAATTTTGGGGGGGTGATTATATGTAAAACTTTTAGCACTATTTTAAGTTTAATGATAAATTAAAAATGTATATTTTCTACTTTTTATTTACCTAAATCATTCTGAGAAATGACAGAATCAACTATCAAGTATTTTGATTTAAAAATCATTTTTATTCAGCACTGTTTATTTTTATTTTTTAATATTTTATTTATTTATTTTTAGAGCAAGGGGAAAGGAGGGAGAAAGAGAGGGAGAGAAACATCAAAGTGTAGTTGCCTCTTGCACACCCCCTACCTGGGACCTGGCCTGTAACCCAGGCATGTACCCTGACTGGGAATCAAACCTGCAACCCTCTGGTTTGCAGGCCAGTGCTCAATCCACTGAGCCACACCAGCCAGGGCAGCACTGTTTATCTTGACTTGTATCAAAAATGAAGCTGAATTAACTCTGAATTAATTTAATCTGACTCCTAGAAACTATGATTTGAGGATAGGGTATTTTCTAAAGACAAAGTCAAGCTCTAAGTAAAAATCCCAAGGAACACTAGCTATTTCAGTGGGAGGATGCTTTGCTTTGAGTGATCCATTATCACAAACTAAAGACTCACCACTCCTCTTCCTCAGTCAGCCCTGGAGAGAGGACAGCCATCTTCACTTTCACCTAGATCAGTGGCCATTAATGGGAAGTAAGGTAGCAAAGAAAAGTTTCTTGAAGCATCTCTCTGACCTTGCCCTGCTTTCACTGTTTCTCCCTCTCCAGCTATAGTTCCTGCCCCTAGTCTTATCCCCAAGCTAAGCATGGGCTGACCTGCCTCCACAGCCTGCCACAGCCCACTGTTGGCCTACAGAGCTCCATGGCCTTCCCTCAACCCCACCCGAGCCAATGAGTATGACTTACTGTCTTAGGTCCTCATTGTCTCCTGTGGTAAACCAATGGCAAGTGGTCAATTTGAGAACAAAAATGAAGCAGAGCTCAAGGAAAAAGGAAAAAAAATTACATTTTTATACTAAAAAATTTGCAATTTCACATCTTTAAAAAAGCAGTCTATTTTCTTCCCAGAATATCTGCAATTGTTAGTGGCCTTCTGGGTCTGTGTCAGCTCCATTTCCAAGCTCCAGCTAGGCTTGTTGCCTCAACCTGGAAGGGATCCCCATTCTGAGATTCTTAGGCCAAGGTCATAGCAGGTCCTAGGGACATATGCCTAAGGAGGTACTGCTTGTGCCACTTTTGGGAACAAACATCTGTTCCATCCATTCCTGTTCATAGGCTCAGTCTCAAGGCAATAACAGAAAGATAATACTCAATTCAAAAAATACAAACTGTTGTTTGTTATGCTGTTTCTAATTAGTTTCATAGCATTTGAGTTAATATGATAATTTCCAAAGGGAGGATGATACAAACATAATGTTTGTGGGAATGGAAAATCCTTAACAATATATGGCAACATGAAGCTTAATTTACTGCAGATCTATTAACAAGAGCATCTCAAAAGAGAAGTGGTGTTCCCTTGCACAGGAGCATAGATGTAGAAGCTCTCCTTAGATATAGTTTGGGTCAATGAGGTGGGGAATTTGTGTATAAAGCTGTGTCTAGATCATGTGGAAAAGCCATTAAAGAATGAAAATAGGATTGTTTTAGAATATTACCAACATATACATGAGTGTATGCATTTGTGTGTATAACTGAGTTATAGGTAACTGATTGTGATCCTTCTATGGATAAATCAATAGATAGGTAGATATCTATATGGATATCACTCATTTAGTCTGAGAGTATCTCACAATGTATATTAAGTTTATATCCTGGTATTTTAAAGAGTTCCCTTTTTCATCTAGTTTACTCTCCTCTCTTAAATTATAACTTTTATTTTGATGGCTAGTTTTCTTCAATGTTTACAAATACCTAGGTTCCATATTTCTGCTGTTCTAGAAAGACTTTTCCCTAACACAACTTCCTTCCTCCCTCCCTCCCTTCCTTCCAGATAGAAGTTACTGGATACATATCTCGTGAATTAATGAATTGATAATCTACACATTACATTTTCCTCCATTTGGTTTGTTTGTTCCATTTTCTCCCAATTCTTTCCATGTGCCTTCTGGAACTTCCTTTCCACTGAGAGCAAAACATCTTATATTCTAAGAGTCTACATCACTCATACTTTTTTTCCTGTACACTCCTACTTTTTTTCCTGTACTAAAATTAAGCCATATGTTGAGAATGCCAATGACCATTCTCCAACCACCCTCCACCCACTCTCCTCCTCACCAATCCTAAACCCATGTAACTACTCTTCCATTCATAAGCAGAAGTTGACCCTTTTGAAGGACTTGACCACAATTGACCTCTCTCTGTTGCTGGCCTACCAGTCTCTTGATCTCTTTTCCCTTCACTCACATACATCAGTGCCTAACTTGAAGTCCGATTCTCCAGCCTTGGCTCCATGTAGATGATGCACCCAGAATCCAGCTTTATATTTCGTTGGTCTTTAATTTCCACTATTTTTCATTAAACCATTCTCATAGTTTTACATAATATATCTCATAGGCTGCACTTTATATCTGTCACTGAAGACAACAGATCCTTCTCTGAAATGCAAACCCTAATAGTCTATTCTGAGCCAACAATTGCTTATCCATCCTTTAATATCACATTCATGTTCTCACTACAACTTTCCTTCTGAACCCCAATGGGAGTCCTGGATTTTTTTTTAAATTTAATCCCAGTTCACTAGTCTCATCCTGGACTTACCTTCTTTCCCACCCAGAGACAAACAAGAACATCAGATAGCATTGTACATGTTCCCATGCACAATTTACTTTAAAAAATTCTTGTCGCCCTGATAAAGATCCTAACAGTTCTCATACAACCTAGAGCCTTCTGTCCTGTAGTGTTAAACATCAATGCATCAAGCAA